TCACCTATCTTTCATAACTTTCTTGCTGCCATTCATACTATTGTTGAGCCAAAGTCCTTCCAAGAGGCAGTTCAAATTCCAGAGTGGCGACAAGCTATGGCTGAGGAATTTCAAGCATTTCAGCAAACTCATACCTGGGATATTGTTCCCTGTCCTCCTGGGATCTCTCTTGTTGGCAGTAAATGGGTTTATAAGGTCAAGTTTCGTCCTGATGGCACCATTGAACGTCGAAAAGCTCGTTTAGTGGCTAGAGGTTTTACTCAGCAACAAGGTATTGATTATGAGGAGACCTTTGCTCCTGTTGCTCAGATGCCCACTGTGCGTACTCTCCTTGCGGTCGCTGCTGCTCATCGTTGGCCCTTATACCAGATGGATGTCAAAAATGCTTTTCTTCATGGCTCTTTATCAGAGACCGTATATATGCAACCGCCTCCAGGGTCAAATATTCCTCCGGGACATGTATGTCTCCTTCGTCGTGCTGTTTATGGTCTCAAACAGGCACCCCGCGCTTGGTTTGAGTGTTTTCGCGATGTTGTGCTCAAAGCGGGCTTTATAGAAAGTCATCAAGATGCTTCTCTGTTTGTTCGCACTACATCGCGTGGCAGGGTTTTATTACTCATCTATGTAGATGATATGATCATTACAGGTGATGATATGACAGGTATACAATACGCAAAATCTCAGTTGCAACAACAGTTCCACATGAAGGATCTTGGATCTCTTCGGTATTTCCTTGGTCTAGAAATTTCTCAAGGCCCGCGGGGTGTATTACTGTCTCAACAGAAGTATCTCTCAGATATTCTAAATCAAGCTGAGTTAACTGATAATACAACTGTCGATACTCCACTCCAGCAGAATGTCAAACTTTGCTCTACTGACGGTGAGCCTCTATCTGATCCTACCCGATATCGACATCTTGTTGGTCAGTTGGTCTATTTGTGCATCTCTCGACCAGATATCTCTCATGCTGTTGGTATTGTCAGTCAATTTGTTAGTGCCCCACGTTCTGTACACTATGCTGTCTTATTACGGATTCTTCGGTACCTCCGGGGTACTAGCACTCGCTCACTTTTGTTTCCTGCTACATCTAAGTTAGAGCTTTGTGCATATTCTGATGCTGATTGGGCTGGTGATCCAACTACCAGAAAGTCTACCACAGGTTATTGTATATTTCTTGGTGATTCCCTTATTTCCTGGCGAAGTAAGAAACAAGATGTTATTGCTCTTTCCAGTACTGAGGCAGAGTATCGTGCAATGTCCACAACAGCTAAAGAGATTATTCATCTTCGTCGCCTTCTCAGTGATTTCGGTATTTCTGTTACGACTCCTACTCCTCTCTACTGTGATAATAAGAGTGCCATCCAGATTGCTAATAATCCAGTATTTCATGAAAGGACCAAACATATTGAGATCGACGCTCATTTTGTCCGTCACCAAGTTATCAAGGACAAGACAATTCTACTTCCTCATGTTTCATCCGCTGACGAGCTTGCAGATTTCTTCACAAAGGCCTTACCTGTTCATCGGTTCCAGTTTCTTGTACGCAAACTCACTTTGTTTGATCCAACATGAGTTTGAAGGGGGCTGTTGATAATAGTGTATTGTAGTGGGTTTTAGTCCCACATTGCTTGGGAGAACAAACCTCACACTCCTCTACTTGTATAAATATATGTGCACACTCAATATTCAATTAAAGGGAAATTTACCCAAGATTCTCTCTCTCTCTCTTACTTTAACAACAGGTACTAATTTACAGTACTAGAGATGATTTGCGTCTTAAGCTGCACAAATTTCTAGATCTCTGAACACCTTCATAATTTGAATCAAACATGGTTGGTTCTTTATGAGATTGATTCTCAGAATTAGTTTGGCCAAGAAATTGTTCATTGTTCGAAGTGAAAGAGTTTGAGGATGCACTGGTTCAAAGATTTTTCTCTGTCAGAACATCAAATGTTCAAATGGACATATTCACTGAATTAATTGTTCTAATCGATTCACACAACAATACAAGAATCATCGTCTGAAATGGCATTCATTTATTCATCTATTGACAAAGTGTACAAACGAAAAAAAAAATGAGAAGACCCACCACAAAACTACTTCATCCACACTACAAAAATCCATTACATTCACATCACAGTACAAAACCTTATTCAGCCTGAACTGGATCTTGGCAAGGCATCAGCTGTTCTTCTAACAAGAGAGAGGACTGAGCTCAACAACCCGACGATGATTGTTTGCTTCACTTGGCCTCTTCGAGGAATCAGACGGCTAGATGAACCTCTCTTCTTCATCGCCATGTCTCTCTTCCTAATGAATTCTGACGAGCAGTGAACAGGTTTCTTTCTTTTGGTTCACACAGGTTGGCAGTTGACAGATTAAGGTAAGCTTGAAACTGAGAGTGAAGTATAGAGTTCCTTATATAGAGATGCTCAGACAAAAATACCCTTATATCTAGTAAAAGTTATGCTAAGGTGGCTGGTGGCTTTAGTGTAATTTTGAGCAGAAGAAGGGGTATATTAATCTAATGTCTTTGATGGTTATCTCCCTCTCTGTTTCCTCCACTAAACAAGTGAACTAAAAGAAAGATGTGATATTAAACCACCTAATTAATGTGATAATTGAAACCATGCATTGAACCAAGACAGATCGTATTTGTGTGGAGTGTGAGCTGGCTGATGGATGCTAAAGTTTTCAAGTGCTTGTTAATTCACGTTTGCGTTGAGAATTAGATTGTTTTATGTCACACTCTTGCAATCAAGTTGGTACACTCACAGTTGTCTTGAATTTTCTTCACTGTGAATAGACAGTTGACAGTCAAGTTTTCAGTTAAAATGTATGAGTAAGTATAACTTATAGAAAATATCTGGCTAGATGGCACTTAAATATCCTATTGTTTCGCCATCTTTACAGTCAAATACCCTAATTAAGTTATAACTTCGATATCCTAAGTTGTAAAGAAAAGCGCTTGAATACCCTAAGTTATTAAAAAATTGCCACTTAAATACCTTCTTTTTCAACACCTTTGCACTTAAATATTCTAAATTATGAAAAGTATCACTTTAGTACCCTAAGTTAAGTTATAAGTATGTAGCGATTTAATACCCTGAGTTATATGAAAGTGGCACTCTAAAACATTTTGTTAGTTGTCGCGACATATTCCTAGGAAGATTCCCATGACAACTAATGACAACTAACAAAAGATACTAACATGCCAATTTTTTACAACTTAGAGTATTAAAGTGCTATTTTTACAACTTACGGTATTTAAGTGTAAAGATGGTGAAACAACGGAGTAATTGTCATTTAGCCAAAATATGAGGGTAGTTATATTTGAAATTACTCCTAACCATTTTGGAAACAAATGGGCCATTATGATTTAGAAAATACTCTTTAATTCTGATGTAAAAAAAAAAAAAGAGGATGGAAACGTATCTTGAAATAGCATGTTAAAGAACAGAAACTAGAAGAAAAAAAATCTCCTCAGCTTCGTAATTATTTGGCTTAAAATTTAAGTTTCTTTCCTTAAAAAAGTTTCAAAGTATTTCTACTTTATTTTAAACAGAAGGATGTCTCTTCTCCATTTTGTTCACATGTTGTTTCCTTAAAAGTGTATGTTAGTTGTGCTACTTGGTGAGTAGCTAGTAATTACTTAAGTAAACTTTAAGGTTAAGCAATAAATTAATCGATTTATATAAACAGTTAGCAGTTTACGTCTAAACTTGATTATGAAGTGACATGTGAGACCCAAATTTCCTAGTGGACGCTATAATGAGTGCTTGAAAAAGAAATATGCAGTGGATAGAAGATATTTAGAGGACAACCATAGTTTACTTTTCTCAAAATATATATAGGGAAAGTTTGGACAAAAATATGCATAAATGTTTTTGTGAGTTTTTTTAAGTCTAGAGTTATTTGATGTATACATCTTGTTACACGAGCACACTTGAATTTGATTTGCCCAGTCTCTATTGGAGTCCCTTTTAAAGCGAAATCCTTTTTGTTAATGGTCTTTCATAATGCTAGCGCATTGGCCTTTCTTGAAGAAAATAAAATTCTGATCCATCGACTTTAGATCATTTTGCTTAGATTTTGTTCATTGAAAAAGACTGCCACGTGCCCGTTGATGGAGCTCTAACATGCTGTTCCTCTTTCTTCTGAAGTTAATGATGATTTAGCAGATCAGAAGGAACGCTATTTATCAACAAACTTCTGAGTTATATATACTCATATTATAATATAATAGAAGATTATTCATGCATATAATGATTAAGCGAACAGACTTGTCATAACTCCCGTCAAACGTACGTGTGTTTGTTGACGTGACACACTAGAATAATTCTACCAAAACAAGGCGAGTGTTGCATCTTATCCGTCTCGAGCACCAATCGCAACCCGCGGGAATTCTGACAGTCGACATGAATAATCTAAACATGCGTTACCTTTTATGAGTAATATAACATACGGAGAAGTTTTCAAAACAGACCGGTTTTAAAATTTATTCCCCAAAAAAGATCTGTTTCTAACTTAATTTCAAAAACCGACCCAGTTGACTGAAACTGGGTCGTTTTTCAGAAAAAAAAAAGTTCACAAACTTCACGGGAGTTGAACTCCCGTGAAGTTTTTTCTCATAACAAAACTTCACGAGAGTTGAACTCCCGTGAAGTTTGTGAATTTTTTTTCTTCAAAAACCGACCCAGTTTCAGTTAACTGGATCGGTCTTTAAAATTAAGTTGGAAACAGATCTGTTTTGGGGAATAAATTTCGAAACAGGTTTGTTTTGAAAATTTGTCCTATAACATACCCATGCATACACACAAATTGGTTTAGCAGTTACCTTCCCTAAAAACCATGCGAAGGGAAACGAAACATGATCCCTGCGACTATTTTTCATCTTCCAGAACGTGAAAACTGTTGGTTTTAAGCTTAAAAATTTTTCTATGATTAATAGACAGTAGTATGCTTCATTTAACGCTGGCAATTATTTGCAATCAAAGACATGGAGGCTGGCCATAATTGAAATAGAACAGTAAATGCAAAAAAATCATACAAAATCTCAAGAGTTCTGCTCATAACTATTCACACCCTCGGTAAGATCTACATCAACATAGGGGAAAACTAGAATTTTGTAAATAATTACATCCGCCATGAATCTCTTAGGCTCATGCCCAAGAATGCTGAAACAGCAATCCAAGTATCACTTGTTAGAGAAATGATACAGTCTTGTGATTTTTCTGCTTTCTTTCCTCTGTAGTGAGATAGTAGGGGTTACGTTTGCATACTCCTTGCATCTTCTATCATGCGAGTAAGATCTTGGACAACCTCGGACATTGGAGGTCTGAACTCCGGCTGTTGCTGCAACGTGGAATAAAAAGTTTAGCATTTATACAAGCGAGAAACTTTTCAACCTCTTGGCCATGAATGTGTTGAGTATGTGGAACCCACTTTTGACGAAGTACATAGCAATGCATTGTTTTGTTATGGGGCTTGCAGAAAAAGGGGAGGGAACATGTTTGAAATATGGTACTCCATGTTAGATTTAGTGTGGTTCTAGTTAGTGGGTTAGTGGGTATGGACCAACTTTAATTACTATCCGGTTGTATCCCTATGCAGTGTTAGTAAAACAATGAAGGAGACAGAAATTCTGAGACGTGAAACACTTTCCTTAAAGAAATATTTACCCCCACTTGATATTCAAAGTTGCTTCGGGTTAATACAAATTTTCTTCCCAGGATACAACAGAAAATAAAAATTCCAGTAAGCAAATCTGGAATTTTCCTTAATTCGTTGTGAAACAAGTTTGTAATATTGCAGATGTTTTTGATAGAAAAGATTCAGAAAAGAATTGTTATTAGATATCTGAAATCATTAACTATTTATAGGTTTGAAGAGGTGCTTCCAACAGTCATAACTTTTCAAAACACTATTTATAGGTTTGAAGAGGTGCTTCCAACAGTCATAACTTTTCAAAACACCCCTTGGAGCAAACAGACACTTTTTAACAGTCACTTGTCTTTTCATAATTTTTAAAATTCAAAATAACATTAAAAATAATATATTCAATATATAATTATATATATATATAAATAGAACATTTAAGTGGCAGCGGCAAGCGTGCAAAGTGCTAAGTGCGTCTAATAATCGCGTCAAAATCGCGCATTATTCGCGCTACCCGCATGCGGGTTTAGAAGCCTACACTTTGATCCATTATTCAAACCCCAATAAGCATTCAATGCTTTTAAACCTCTAAAAGAATGTTTAAAATTCCAATGTGGGACTATCTTGTTTTTTTTTTTTTTACAAACAAATACTAACAATCCCCCACTTTGTTTGAAAAAACATTTTAATGGTATTATATTTAAAATAATCTGCAATATGTACAAAATGAGATAAGTATACATATGTAGAGGTATCTTTCGATTTAAACATTTACTTAGTAGAAATACCTCAAAGTTCTATCAAAGTCGTTAGTTACCTTAACATTAAACTAATTACTCTTTGTGATAGAACAGGAGAATATTGTACATACACTAATCTCTTGTTTCAATGAGAATTAATATTTTAGCACTGTTATGGTCTTGTGCTTATTCTTGGTTCATGAACTCTTTAAAGAACAAACCTTTAGCTCTTTTAAAAAGCGGCACCACTTCTAAGTTCATATAGATGAAACGTCTACAATGTGTTTTCCATTACTTTAAACACACAACAATAATGTATTAGACTTTCATTAAGAACATAACTCATCCTCTTATTCCGTAATGGACGATATTGACATTATCTTTTAGAGCTTAATGCGTCAATATCAATCAATCACTTTCAGAAACTTGTTATTACCCATTAAACCATTTAACCAGTTTAGTTCTAGCAAATGGTTGGGTTACCGTTCCTGGTGATTTTAAATATAAGGTTTCAGCCCTATTTCACTTGATGTCATCTTTACTACCTTTCTTGCTAGAGGTTTTGTAAATGGATCAGCCAAATTTTTATTTGTCTTGACATAGACAATAGTTATGACACTATCTTGTATCAAGTGTCTCACATATTCATGTCTTAAGACTTATGTGTCTAGACTTACCATTATATGTACAATTATAAGCCATTGACAAAGTGACTTGACTATCACAATAGATAGAGATAGGAGGCATTGGACTAGGCCATAACTTAATATCTAGTAATAAGTTCCTAATCCATTCAGCCTCTTTACCAGTTGCTACTAAAGCAATGAATTCAGATTCCATGGTGAAGTATGAGATACATGTTTGTTTCTTGCTTGCCCAAGAAACTGCTCCTCCACCAAGTGTAAAAACCATTCCAGAAGTGGATTGGTTGTCTCCAACACTAGTCATCCAGCTTGCATCGGTGTATCCCTCTAATACAGCCGGATAATCATTATAGAACAAACACAGATTTTTGGTTTTCTTTAAATAGCCAAAAATCCTGGAAATGCTTTTCTAGTGTTCTACACTTGGATTACTAGTGTATCTACTTAATTTGCATACAACAAATGCAATATCAGGTCTAGTATAATGCATAGCATACATTAAAGAACCAATTGCACTAGCATACTCAAGCTGTGCTACAGCTCTACCAGAATTGACAGTTAATTTGGCACTAGGATCGAAAGGAGTGTTAACTTCTTTAAAACCAAGATGATTAAATTTATTCACTATTTTTTCAATATAATGTGATTGGCTTAAAGAAAAAACCCCGCTATGTTTTCTAACTTTAATCCCTAAAATAGTATTCGCTTCTCCTAAATCTTTCATTTTAAACATAAAAGATAGATACTCTTTTGTCTCATTTATACCAATCATATTAGTGCAGAATATTAACATGTCATCCACATACAAGCAGACAAGCACACCATATTTATCAGTGAATTTAGAATAAATACACTTATCAGCACTATTATGTTTGAAACCATAAGATAGAATAACAGAATCAAACTTTTCATACCATTGTTTTGATGCTTGTTTAAGACCATAGAGAGATTTAATTAGTTTACATACTTTTCTTTTATTTCCTGGAAGAATGAAACCTTCCGGTTGTTCCATGTAAACCTCCTCATTTAAATCTCCATTTAAAAAAGCAGTCTTGACATCCATTTGATGCACAAATAACTTATGTATAGATGCCAAAGCAATAAGAATTCTAATAGATGTTATACGTGCGACAGGTGCATATGTATCAAAATAATCTATGTCTTCTTTTTGTCTAAACCCTTTGGCTACTAATCTAGCCTTAAAAGCTTGAATAGAACCATCAGAATGATATTTTCTTCTAAAAACTCATTTACATCCTATTGGCTTTGATCCTTGAGGTAAATCTACTAAAATCCAAGTACTATTTTCCATTATAGAATCCATTTCATCATTGACAGCTTCTTTCCAAAATGAAGCATCTCTAGATGACATTGCTTCTATAAAAATTTTAGGATCATCACCTGGATTAAAACTTATAGGATGTTTATTTAAAACATTATTATTCCTATCACCTTCAACAAGAAAAATAATTTGTTCAGGAGAAATAAAATCTGAAGGTAAAGATTTCTCTTTTCTTGCTCTAGTACTTCTTCTTGGCTCTGATGTTTCTTTAGATGTATTCGTTTCCTTAGCATGAAAATCAGAACTAGAAATATTATTAGAGTTAAGCAGAATAGAAACATTTTCAACATTTTCAGAATCTACAGAAAATTTATTTTTAAAGAATTCAACATCTCTAGATTCAACAATAATATTAGAAGATAAATCAAGTAGTCTATATGCTTTGCAATTTTTAGCATATCCGACAAAAACACTTTTAAAGGCTCTAGGTCCAAGTTTTGTTCTTTTAGGATCAGGAATTCTATAATAAGCCAAACACCCCCACACTTTAAAATATGACAGATTAGGTTTTCTACCTTTCCATAACTCATAAGGACTTATATTTAACTTTTTAGAGGGAATCCTATTATGAATATAACATGTTGTGTACAATGCTTCTCCCTAAATTTAAAGGTAACTTAGCATTATTAAGCATACAATTTATCATTTCTTGTAAAGTTTTATTTTTTTCTTTCGGCTAAACCATTCTGTTAGGGAGTATAAGGTGTTGTACATTGATGAATAATGCCATGTTCTTCACAAAAAGTATTAAAATTATCAGAAAAATATTCACCACCTCTATCAGAACGTAATACTTTAATTTTCCTTTCAAGTTGATTTTCAACTTCTGTTTTGTATTTTTTAAACATATCAAAAGCTTCATCTTTTGTTCTTAAAAGATAAACATACATATATCTACTGCAATCATCAACAAAAGTGATAAAGTATCTTTTTCCTCCTCTAGTTAACATACCATTCAATTCACATATATCAGAATGTATTAAATCTAAAACTTTAGAATCTTTGCGAGAAACACTTGGAAAAGCTTTCTTTGTTAATTTAGACTTAGCACAAATTTCACATTTATCAAATTCACCATTAAAGTTAATGAAATCTAACTTTCTCATATTTTTCAAATAGCGAAAATTTAAATGTGCTAAGCGATCATGCCATAAATATGAAGACTCAACAATATAAACAGAAGATATAACTTTATTATTAATACTTAGTTGATACATTCCATCACAAGAGTAGCCTTTTCCTACAAACATCCCGTTCTTAGACAGGATAACATTATTTGACTTAAAAGCAACCCGAAACCCTTTCTTACAAAGAAGATCAACAGAAACTAAGTTCTTTCTAACTTCGGGTACATACAGAACATTTATAAGAGTCAATTTCTTTACAGAAGTAAAATCTATATCAACCGTCCCCTTTCCAGCAACCTTTGCACAAGCATTGTTTCCCATTTGCACTTCTGTAATTTTCGAAATTTCTTCAAATCCTTTGAACAAGGATTTGTCCTTGCAAACGTGGATTGTTGCACCAGAATCAAGCCACCATCCAGACTTAACAGAAGCCATATTGATTTCAGAAATCATAGCGACCAGATTCTCTTCTATCATATTTGCAGAAGCCTTTGATTTTACATTATTATTTTTTCTGTGACGACATTCTTTAGCAAAATGTCCAGGCTTGCCGCAAATAAAACAGGATCCCTTTTTCTTCTGAAAATTCTTCCTTTTAAAGTGTTGTCCACTTTTCTTTACTTGAAGGTTCACATTTTTTACCAAAGTTTCATTCTTTTCCACAGTGTGAACCTTACAATCACTTTGGACAGAATTTTTCGAATCACGTAAGCGTGACTCCTCTTCAATTCTAAAATTCTTCTGAAGTTGTTCCAAAGAGATTTCCTCAGTTTTATGCATTAGTTTCTTCGAGTAATCTTTCCAAGTTGATGGTAGTTTTGTAATAATTGCAGCAACTTGAAAAGATTCTGGAAGAACTATTTTGAGAACATGAATCTTATTAACCAGAACCTCCAATTCATAAACTTGCTCTAGGACAGACTTGTCATCAACCATTTTATATTCTAAATATTTTGCAATTAAATACTTGTTTGTACCTTCCTCCTCGGTTTTGTATTTAAATTCCAGTGCGTTCCAGATCTCCCTTGCCGACTTTATCCTCGTGAAAAGATCATATAATTGGTCCGAAAGTGTGTTCAGAATGTGACCGCGACACAACACTTCATCTTCCTCCCTTTTTGCCTTTTGCTTTTTGATTTCTTCTATTTCCTCCTCAGTAGGTTGTTTGCTGTCTGCACTTGGTTTTGGATCTTCTATGGGCTGCAGGTTGGGGTTGAGAATGTAGGAGATCTTCAATACTGTAAGAAGAAACATCATCTTGTCTTGCCAGCGAGAGAAATTGTTCCCGTCGAATCGGTCCAATTTGACCATGTCTTGATTCATCACCTTGATTGATTCCGACTCCATTGTAGCAGAAATATTTCTTTAAGATTGTTAGTAAAACAATGAAGGAGACAGAAATTCTGATGCGTAAAACGCTTTCCTTAAAGAAATATTTGCCCTCACTTGATAGTCAAAGTTGATTCGGGTTAATACAAATTTTCTTCCCAGGATACAACAAAAAATGAAAATTCCAGTAAGCAAATCTGGAATTTTCCTTAATTTGTTATGAAACAAGTTTGTAATATCGCAGATGTTTTTGATAGAAAAGATTCAGAAAAGATTCAGAAAAGATATCTGAAATCATTAACTATTTATAGGTTTGAAGAGGTGCTTCCAACAGTCATAACTTTTCAAAACACCCCTTGGAGCAAACAGCCACTTTTCAACAGTCACTTGTCTTTTCATAATTTTTAAAATTCAAAATAACATTAAAAATAATATATTCAATATATAATTATATATATATATATATATATAGAACATTTAAGCGGCAGCGACAAGCGTGTAAAGTGCTAAGTGCGTCTAATAATCGCGTCAAAATCGCGCATTATTCGTGCTACCCGCACGCGAGTTTAGAAGCCTACACTTTGATCCATTATTCAAAGCCTAATAAGCATTCAATGCTTTTAAACCTCTAAAAGAATGTTCAAAATTCCAATGCGGGACTATCTTGTTTTTTTTTTTACAAACAAATACTAACATGCAGTATTCTCCCCTAATCAATAATATCTTTATCTGAGTTATTTCAAAACTCGGTGTCAGAGCATGCGTTATGAAATACTACTCAATCCCAACACTCCATCTAAAATCAGTGTTTTAAATATCGACCGACATGTCCGACATGTCGGTCGATATATCGGATTGAGGGGTCGAACGACACGAATCGGGGGATTTTAAGTCGCATGTCGTTTTTCAGGGAGATATCGAATATATCGGCGAAATATTTGCCATGTCGACCGATTTTTCATGTTTGAAAAATCGGCCGATAAGCCCATTTATCGGTTCAAATGCGTGGGTTTGGGTTTGGGTTTGGTTTAGGTTTGGGTTGGGTTCAAAACTCATTTGACCCTTTTATCGGATATAGGAGGCTCTTTTCGAACCCGATAGACACCCCGATCATAAGAAAGAAAAGAAAAACCCTAGGGCTCGCGATCTTCGTCGTTTTGCTTTCGTGGTCCTCGGCTTCTCCTCTCGTCCTCACAGCGCCGTCTTCTCCTCTCTTTCTTCCCTGCGCCATTGGGTCCTCACATCGCTGGTAAGCCTCCCTGTCCTCGGCTTCTCCTCTCATCCTCACAGCGCCGCCTTCTCCTCTCTTTCTTCCCTGCGCCATCGGAGCCTCGGAGGGTCCTCACATCACTGGTAACTGGTAAGCCTCTCTCTCTCTCTCTCTCTCTCTCTCTCTCTCTCTCACCTCTCCCCCTCTCCCTATCTCGCTAATGACTTTTTCTGTTTACATTTTTTCACTTAAGCCTCCCTGACCTCTCTCTCTCTCATGACCCTTTTTTTGTTTGCATTTTTTTCAGACTTCCAGTTTGTGTTGTTGTTGAGTCGTTGACTGCTAAGTAAAAGGAATTATTGATTTTTACTTTTTTATATGTCTAGTCTATAAAATTTATAAAGTATGCTTATACTGAATTTAGGAATGTTTAGATTACATTTAGGACATGATATTATACATATACACATCACCCGATATGGCAATCCGATATTTAGTCCATGTCCCCCGATATATTCCCGATTTCCGCTATCCGACATGGATTTCAGCCGTCCGACATGAACCCGACATCCGATATTTAAAACATTGTCTAAAATACAAGCTAATATGAAGGCTCCACAAAAGAAACCTAAAACCTAACCCCAAACCACTGCCCCCTGTGACCCACAATCGTCACCACATGTTCCAATCAGCAAAATATCATCAACGTATATAGCCAAGATCATTGTCCCCGAAGTGGTGCGAAGAATAAACACAGAATGATCTGAATGACACCACTGAAAACCAACACCAGATATATTTGACTGAACTTGTCAAACCAAGCTCGCAGACTCTGTTTGAGTCCATAGATTGCTTTCTTAAGCTTGCATACATTAGACTTGCCCAAGAGCAATATACCCCGGAGGTTGCTCCATATAAAAACCCTTCCTAGAGGTGGCCATACAAGAAGACATTCTTCATATCAAGCTGAAACATAGGCCACTCCAGATTAACAACAATGGAGAACAAGATACTTATGGAGTTGAGACAGGCAATGGGAGAGAGTCTCAAAATAACCAACTCCATATATCTGATCAAAGCCTTTAGCGACCAGCCTGGCTTTCTAAGTATTTCATAACACCTCATTAAATCTCACATGATGAAAAAGCGTCATAAAACAAGGTTATTAGCAGACATACCCCTTGTACTATGATGATGTAGCTACTCATCACCCATGTTCTATTTTATGAACACATACACCCTCTAGTCTTGTGATGTAGTTTTTCATTAACTATTAAAGTCATGTGGAAATCACGTAGTAAAGCTCTTGATAACTGTCTAACTCTGACCACATCATGATTAACATGGAATTTAAAAAATAATGGAAAGCGACATGTCATGAACTTGGGGTGTAAATGGTAAATATACTAGAACAAAGTGAAAGTAGGTAATGCACGAAGTGCATCTGCAAATAATCAGGAGAAAAATTTACAACATCCATTATCAATTAATGATGGATAAGGTTGCACAAGATAAATACTTCAATATTATTGTGTGTGAGAGAGGAACAGAAAGAATTACCTGAACACAACGACTTATAATATCTGCAAACCTTGACAATGATTTCATAGGAAGTTTTCCATCTATGGAAGGATCCACGATTCTGGATAAAGCATTGATGTCATATAACTGTGAACTGGCCCATCTCACTAGATATCGCTGCTCCCGAGGTCTTGAGCTATAAAAATTGGGAAATTGATGAAATCTCAAATATCAAGGAAGAGAGACTCTATCATAATAAAAGATTGGAAGTGTTTATTACCTCTCATAGGGTTTTCGTCCAGTGAGGAGTTCTAACATGACCACTCCAAAGCTGTAAACATCACTCTTGTCGGTGTATGATCCAATATCATTAACTTCTGGAGTCTCATAGTTTGGTAATTCATGTATCTGTCATGAAGCTTCAGTGTTATGATGTTATTATTGCAAATAAATGCACATGCATTTCAATGTTTAAATGTAGCAAGTTAAATGGTTACAGTCCAGTAAGAAGGACAAATTAATTTCATATTTACCCATAAATAAATTGTTACTTTGAAGTGGGTAAGCAAATAAATAAATTTTTACAACACCCATAACTTTATTGAGTGCCACCAATATTATGGAATACATCTAGGCAGCCTGAATAGTTTCTTCTCCAGCCTTGTGACAGGTCCCTTCTCACACTTTGAACTAATATTAACTAATCTTATCAGCTTAGCATGAAGTCTTATAACTTTTGAAGTAAGTAAATTTTTAATAATATAACACACAACAACAAAGTATTATCCTGAATTTTTCTGGTCAGCTGCATGAATCCTTCTCTTCCACTCAGTTTCGTTGAGGGGTACCCTTCACTAATTTAATCGTTGCAGAATCTAAACTAACTATACTAAGAGATATTTCCTTTAAAAAACTATATAAAAGATATAGTGCTAGATTTACTCACCTGACCCATAGAATTGGATAGTATCAACGAAGCAAAGCCACATTGAGAAACACGGACACTACACCGATCATCAAGAAGAATTTTGGCTGAGTCAAAATTCTGATGTATGACTGGTGGTCGACATCCCTCATGGAGATACCTTGGCACAAAAATAAAGGTACATGAAACTTTAATTCAATCAAGCAAGTTTACTTAAAAACTCACAATACTTACTCTAAAGCTCTAGCAGCACCGAGCGTTATGTCCACACGAGCATTCCATGATAGTTTCTTCTTGAAATCATCTTTAGAGTGAAGAATGTCATGCAGGGTCCTTGTACTAAAGTAGTTATAGACAAGTAACCGCTGCTCATACTCCATACAGTAACCCACAAGCTCGAGTATATTAGGATGTCGAAGTAATGAAGTCCTCAATACCAGCTCAAGAAACTCATCCGTTGGTATTTTCAAATTTGCAGTTTCAAGCTTTGTAACTGTCAAAAGCTGGATGATAGCACACAATAGTCAGACAGGATATACACACAAAAGCATCCCATAATTTAATGATATCTCATTATATCATAGTTAACATAATCATTATGAGCATCATTAATAACTTTATTATGTTGTATCCGTGGTGCGGAAGCCTAAATGAAAAGTTTTTAGAAATATCTTCAGATGAAAGGAAATCTTTGTCAAAGAGTAAACTGGGGGCATCCATGTATCGTTTAATCAGAGTACTATACTGTGAACTTAACCGTTCTGAATGAGTGCTCATACTCATCATTATGCAATATATTGGTTGGTACAATTTTACTTTAAGGGTCACAGATCTATTAGATAAAAATAGCTGTTATATGGTACATTTGTTTAAAAAAGGCCAATAAAAATCAAACTACTTAAAAAGTAAAGAAAGCAGATCCTGTAATAAAATATTTCCAACTTATCAGAATTGATAATTACTCAAACTAACTGAAATCTTTTATTTAGGATGAAGACCAACTATGATGATAATAATAATAAACTATACATAGATCATACCTTTCCATCCGGAAACTCGGCTAAATACACTTTAGTCAATTTATCCTTGCTAATCAAATTTTCTTCTGCAAAACTGTGTGTATATTGCTGAAGAAATGAAACTGAGAAGGACGATATTGATTGGGAATTTAAATTTTGGGAAGCGGAGGATGGAATCTTTTCAGGAGGAACGATGGGCTCTACAATAATTTTTTCAGCAAGAGGCGGCATCATAATCACATTAGTTCTTGCCATATCGATCTCATGTTCTTTCTGCTTCTCAGGCTTATCCTTTTGACCTGCCATTGACAATCTAGGATAAAACAACAAAAAGCAAAACCATAATAAATTATAAATTGTCTGAAAAGCTTTACCCCCTTTATTCTTACCAACACTTAGCATATTCAAGTTTGCATTGTGCATAGACACGTTCATCTTTTCTTGCCCCTTCCCTTTGTGCATCACTGGAATCTCCTCGTCCTTTTGCTTTTTTCGTGACTTTGATATACAAATAGTGATCATAAGCACTGATATGATAACAGAGGCTACCGCAATAGCTGCATAAATAACAACCATTGTGGCTTTCTTCCTGTCACTTTTCCCATAAGGGATACTATTAGCTATAATGCCAGCAGAAGGAACAGGTGCTCCTACAACAGGAAATGGTGGAGATGCAGAAGCTGGTGATGGGAGGATAGGAGCTGGTGATGGAGAGATAGTAGTATTAAATGGGTTTCCATCCTTTCTGCACAATGAAAGACACAGCTCTATAATTGAATAACCCTCTTAAAGCTCATTCAGGAGTTTACAACAAAGAATATGTTAAGATCCTTGGAAGATAAAAAGTCGTGAATCATCATGCCAAATGGGTTATGCATCCTTAGTTTCGAAGTAAAAAAATTTGTGCTCTATAAAAATAAGCTATAGACGATGTTAGTATGCTCTTACTTGAAGTCTGGAATTGTTAGCAACTTCGGAGGAATAGGTCCGGAGAATAGGTTATTCTCTATATTCCTGTTAATTGCAAAGTCAAAAAACGTTATCAGATAAGAGAAGAGGACAAACTTCACAGAGATAGAACTGGACAATGAAGTATTTTCTATATTCCTGTTAAATGCAAAGTCAAAAACCAGTATGAGAGTTCAATCTTTGCGGGCCTAATTTGTATAGATCCTATGCAAATAAATATGGTTTTCTGCAATGGGGATAAATGTAAATCAATAAGTAATTAGGAGAATATTTGAAGATAAAAGAATAATTTCAGGTTGCAACCCAATAATTCCGAGTGCAAACAAATGGATTCAACTTTGCTGGATGATGCAACAAGGGATTGTCTACAATACAAATATGTATTTGTCTACTATAAATTATAACACAAGTTATGCCTTGAACCAACAGATCTTATGACTAAAGAGAAGCAAAGAGCTAGATTTCAATGGAGTTCCTTTATGTATATGTAAATTAAAGCCTGAGGCATTAAATACTTCTAAACCCAGCTCAAACATGCTCCAATAGATACAGTAATGTGTGTGTCGGTGTGGACTGGCGGGATTTTATTTTTATTTTATTTAGATATATTTTATTTTCTATCTTATTTTTTATTTTATTTTGTAGATTAGTGTACTATCTTCCTCCAAAATGCTGTTGAAAATTCACTTCAAGCATTTTTCTAACTCTAAAATGCAATCTGCTTTTCTATCCGACTACGTAAAAAACATTTCTGGGTTGGTTCTTAGCCTGTATTCCAAGGATTCATAACATAATTGTGTCCTCCCTAACTGTAGAAGTCAGATATTGAGATGAAGAGGTGCAATTACCTTATACAATATGATAAGGGACGGGTGGATAGCCAAAAAAATACAGTAGTAACACTTTGGTAAGGAAAATGGATATAAGCTGTTGATGCTAAGCAATTGAAAATGAAAAGAAAATAGTAAGAAGTGCATGCATAGCTTACAAATTTTCAAGGGGAAGATCTTGTAATACATTAAGCATTCCTGATAGGTGATTATTTTGCACATGCCTGCAAAATGGAAAATTAGTTATCAGATACACTTGACACTAGAATGGTGAAAGGAAAAATATATATATAGTTAAACAAAGCTCACAATGTAGATAGGGACGATAAATTTCCCATGGAGGGTGGCAATTGACCGCTCAAGTTGTTAGAAGATATATCCCTATATAAGAGCATAATTATCAAGAAAAGTTGAAATAGGAAAAAAAAACTAAATCCAAAGACAATAAGAGAACATACAAATTGACTAGACCAGCGAGAGGCTGGAAAACATCAGGCAAATCTCCTTCTAAAAGATTGTCATTGACTGCCCTGCGGAAAGATAGCAAAAATGACAACGAAATAAAGTTATATCAGCACGAAACAAAAAACATTTACATGCATGGAAAATTGTGCTTAGAACTTACATATCTGTTAGAAGTGTTAAAGTTGATAAAGAACTCGGGATGGGCCCTGTGAAATTGTTGGCTGAAAGAAAACTGTCTCAACGGCAAAAAAGGCCACAGTTACCAATCAAAATAATTAGAGTATTTATTTATTGTTTATTTCATTTTTTGTACACAAAAATTATGAATGATCAAGGATTGCAGACTTACAATCTCCTAAGAGTAACAGGCAAATTCTCTGGTATGGTTCCACTGATATGGTTATTGCTCAGATCTCTGTTGCAATCAACAGCAGCAGACATTGGTGTAAGAGATCACGAAAACTAGTATATAGCTAAATGAATGGTCAGAATATTCTAAAAACCACACTGTCATTTTCATGACAGATCCAAGAAAATAGATCTTTTGCGATGCTAACACTTACAATGTTATTATTGACACGAAAACCCCTAGTGATTCAGTCAACTGTCCCATCAAATTTGCACCATTGAGGATTCTACATAGAATGAAATCAATTAGTATAATAAAACTATAGACCATTAATTGGTAGTAGAGGGGAAAACACATACATTGCCGTTATGTTTGAGTTGACACATTCGACTCCTTGCCAGCCTTCAAGACACGGGTCTCCTCCAATTCTCCATCCAGGAAGGAGAGGAAAACCCATATTTACATAGAAACCGTTTATAGCAAATACTGGCAAGGAAAAAAAGTATTAGAAATATTAATATTAACATATAGCTTAAAAACAGCAGGTTGACCAAAAAAACCCAATTGTTAGTGATGAATTTGATGTTTAAAAAAAATAGCCCTATTTTGTTAAAAGTAGGAAAAGCTGAAGTTGTCAAAGTGTAGGAACTCCATACACATAGCCTTTATGAGTGAGCACAATTACAGGTATTGAGCAATTAAGTGCCGAACAATATTAGTTCACACTAATATATAACTGTAACAAAATTTTAAAGTATAAACAGGTATTAGATGTAGCTGTAGAATTTTGTTTTATAGTTACTGATTGAAGCAAGCGAAGAGTTAAAACTTCAGAGGCACAACTATATAATCACCGCCTAAGATAAAGCTACCTACCAACTGAGGAAGTCTCTCCTAATAATACAAAGATCCAATATGAACGTAACCTAACGACTAACTTATCTTTAACATGCTTTCAAACTCAAGGTGGGCACCCAATAGTGGTTTACAAAATTTATTAAACAACAACGTGAACAAGTCCATAAAACAAAGATCTCCTTAATAACAGCAATGGCAATGCTCAAACACCGTGCTATGCTAGAGAACCTGCGTATGAATCATGTTCAAAGGCCATCTGAAGTCAACATGAAGGTAGAAATGGCAGAAATTTGCCAATTGAACAAAAGTTCCACATTCGCCCAAGATAAGCAAAATGAGCACAACAGAAATTGCTGAATTTGGAGATTAGGATAAATATGAATATGAATATGTCTTGTAAAAGCCTCAAAAGGTAAAGTTACTGAAGTTGTGTGTCAAATGTCATGAAGAAATTAATTTTTCATTAACATTAAGGAGGTTGTGACTTGTGATGGTTCTGATACCACAATAAAATCAGTAGTCTGTTAGGAGTTGGCAAAATCATTGCAAATTCTATTACAGCAAATGTATACAAGATACAAATGATACGTTCACCATCTAAGGTGAGATCACCAACCAATCAAGTGACATATCCTAACAATACAAAATTTTAATATGAACCTAACATCACAACTAATTCTATTCTCAACACAAATGCCCCTCAAAGAGAAAGACAATTTTAACCAGTTAACAGACAATAAACTGTAAAATTTCACACAGTTAACCTTTGCTTCTAGTTACAGTTCAATATTGACTAAACAAGATGAACTATAATGAGCATCTAATCCAGTAAAAGAAATTACCATCTCGTGGGTCAGTGAATCCTCTTGAACAAGGCAAGATAAAGATCAACATCAGGCCCAAAAATAACAATGAAGCCATCTTCAAGCTTGAGTTATTCATCAGCAATGCCACCTGTTTGTTGCTAAATATTAAAAAAAAAAGGTCTTATCAAAGACAAAGCTAAATACACTACTCCCATAAAACAACAATTAGAAGCAATATAAAATATTTCAGCATATCTTTTGCACTATAAAAACCTCTTTTTGATACTAATAACCTAAATCTGAAGTAAAATCAACTCTACCCATTATCCTTCTTCTCACAACTAAACAAAATCTCCCACAAAATCCTAACTTTACAATGAAATATTATTAACCCAAACCGAGAAAAGCTTGTGCTGGGTATTTATTAAACTACTCACCCACAAACAGAAACTAAGCAAACTGAGAAAAATCCAAGTAAATTATTGTATCAAAATACACGGGGGCAGAAGTTTACCTTGTACATAGAGACTCTAGGATTCGTCAAAATGCTAAGAACAGACTTAGAGAGGAAAGAGGACAGTGGTGAACTTTTCTCTCTCTTCGAAGAATTAGAAATTATAAACTAGGCACGAGAGAGAGAGAGAGGAGAGAGAAACTAAGCAGGCGCTTTGGGGTGTTTTATGCATTAAAGCCCTTCCTTTCTCTGGCCGAACCTTGTTTTTTGAATTTCTGTTTAAAGCTTGAAATCGAACTGATCGCCAGAGGGTAGAGAATTTAAATATTTCAGGATGTGGGGCCCGAAGGAAATTATTTGTGTACGGGTGGATACGGGTTTGTATTATTGTCTGGACCCGTATCCGCTTGGGGTCCGTGAAATAGTGCTTGCATTAATTGATGTTTTGGGCTTAATTTTGACCGTCTTTTTCATGAAAAATAAACAAGGATGATTGAGTAAATATGAAGATCAAATTGGCGGTCAAAAGCAAGGATTTATGTGTTTTTCCTATAACAACACGAGGTTGGATTCCACAAGATTTATTTACGAATTCATCATAAATTCATAGAATCTAGATGATACGAACGAATCTACTTATAAGGATTTGGACATTGATTTTCCATTTTCAGGCACTCTAAATTGATTGAATTTATAGTTGGATAGATTTTATTTCCTAAGAATTTTAATAACATAAATCTTTCCATTTCTTTTTGGTTAAACTCTGGGAAAAAAACATTGTCTAAATTCTTTTTTAAAGAATTTAAAAAAAAAATAGTATCTGATTTTGACTACTCATATCATCATACATCCCTACAGTACAATACTTGAGGCCTTCATGATTACTACGGGTGATTAGCAAAGTTGGACCTCCATCAAAAGTCTCTTGCTAGTAATTTGTGCCAATAACCTTTTCAATTAAGTATTATTAATATAAAATTGCACTCAATTGATTGTTAAAGCCCACAATTCAATTGTGAGAAGCTTCAAGAGCATAAATTACCACTAATTGAGCCTCTTAAGGTGGCCCTAACTTCATTTCTTAAGCGTAACTACTTCACAATTAGGTGTGCTTTTTTCTCTCTCTTCACGGTTGTACTTTAATTATTCTTTTCAAATAATTATTGAAGCCCAAGATACTTATCTTTCAATTGTTTAGTGATAAATATCCAATTAAGGTAGCAAAATATTGGCAATGGTTAAGAAAGTGGACCTCAATTGAAAGGGAATTGGATTTGGGGGCTAGTTAGTGCATTACCTTTACTTACTCACACGGAAACTCTAAAGTGATCTCATGATGAGATCAATATACATTGTATAGTCATGTTGCAAAAAAAAAAAGTAAAGTAAAAAAAAAGGTACATGTGATGTGATGTTGGTGTAGTGATGAAATGCACTGTTGAATTACAATGTGCAAAAGATTCACAAGTAGGGATGATAACATGTGGGAGTATTATTATTATTAGGGGGCCTATGTGTGATGCATCACTATTCCTTGTATAATTGCAATATTAACGTGAGCCAAAATACTGTTTATGTCCTTTTATTATGGATAGCTAGTTTGCATATGGTGCAAAGCACGACCCCTATTTTCTTTAAGCACTGCATTTTGAACTTGTCTCATTGTCTCCTTCAAAATTTTAATACATTTAATTTCATCATTATATGCTTAAAATTAAAAACCATATCTACTCCTCTATACTTAAAAAAGGATCCAAATTTTAATACATTTGATTTAGAAATCATGCCTACTCATTTATACTTAAAGAAAGATTCAAGTTTTAATACATTTAATTTGTTTTACTATTTATGATAAAGTAAATTACTTCAGCATAAATAGTAACTTCAGAGGAGTAGATTTGATTTATCGTTTATGCTACAGTAAATTACTATAATATAAACAGTAACATTAAGTGAAGGGGATTAGATTTGATTTAATGATTATATAATCAAGTATAGAGGAGTAGATTGAAATGGCGGTTCTAATTTTTGTTTCCTTTCTTTTGGTTAATCCATTACAACCCCCTACTTTGAATGAGGTCAAAACTAGGCCGGGCCTACGTACCCAGACTTTAGCTTCATCTGGGCAGGCCAGGCCAACTCATCTTGCATCATCAAAGTTAAAGGCCTACATCGGCATAAATTCTTGTAACTAGCTACCATTTAGGGCCCGGGTCCAACAATTCTGGTGATTTAGCATTTTCTCAATGATAAAAGAGCAAAAAAAAAAACACATAAATAAACCCAGCAAAAATAAAAAAAGATGGAATGTTTATTATTATTATTATTGTTATTATTTCCTGATTAGATTGATTCTCAACCTCTACTTGAGAGTCACCAACAATCACCAGAATTTAGTTGCATTAACTTGGGAATGTAGGTTTCTCTTGCCATCAATGGAACCGCGTACAAGACAGGCGAAATGAACAAAAGGGGAAGAATCTCTTCAGTACAGAAACTCAAAAAGGAATCAGCTCCCCTTTTGGCCATTGCAAATTTCCTCTACTTTGCTCTTCCAATTATTTTCAGTTAGGTACCCCGAAGTTTACTTTGTTTTTCGCTTTGACATGCAAAGTATTTATTAAGACTTTGATGCCCAAAGTTTCAATCTCGTTCCGTTTTAATTGCTCTGACTAGATTACGTTGGATCATGTGTTAAAGTTATATCACGAGAGAACCAAATGGGGGTAGGGGTTAATTAAACTATTTTTTAATATAAAATGTCAAGATTTCTCACTCATTTTAGCCCATTTTGACGGGAAGCCGATTTCTATAAAATAACCCTATTTTTACTACTTTGTAGAAGGTATTTCTATAGATTTTGCGCAAATCAAATAGAGCTTAAAGAAACCTATAGAAAACTTTTATTTACAAAAATGTCGTTGCCAGACATGTCGTTGCCAGACATTTTTTCAAAACATTTCTATAAAACAAGGGGGCTGTTTGGTTCAATTTCTATAAAAAATTGGAAAAAGAAAAGTACTTAAAATTTAATTTCCTTGTATTTCTATAAAATTTATAGGGAAAATTTATAGAACTCAAAGAGTATCATATTTTCTTGTTTTTTGCCATTTCTTTGTTTGGTTGGATATCACTTTATAGAAAATAGCTTACTAACAATGCTCATGGAAAATTACATGGGAACGATACTGGTGTACTTAATTAATTTTTTAATATATGCGTCAGATTTTCTTACAACTTACGCCATTTTTAGAGATGAAGTTGATTTCTATGTACATTTTCCCCTACTTTATAAAAAATATTTCTATAATTTTTTGGAACCAAACACAGTTTATAGAAATCTACATGAATCTATTATTTACGATAACGTCATTGTCAGATGTTTTCTCAAAATTTTTCCATAAAATTGGTAAACCAAAGAGCCCTTAAGCGAACCAAACATTCCCTTATGTTCAATTCGGTACCCCAAAGTTTACTTTTTTTTTTTACTTTGATAATACAAAGTAATTTTTTAACACTTTGATACCCAAAGTTTCAATATCATTTCACTTTGACGCCTCCATCCAGATTCTGTTAGATTTTACGCTAAATTTATATCCCATGCTTAGAACGTGGACCGGGTTACTAGAGATCCAAAAAACAAAAAATGTTTCTAGTAGCCGCATCACGAGCTCAAAATGCCAAGCGTGCGGCATAAATTTAACATAAAATCAGATCTAGACGGAGGTACCAAAGAGGGGTGGGATTGAATATCAAAGCGCTATAATTACTTGGAAGCATCAAAGTGATAAAAACAGGTAAACTTGGGGTACCAACTGAAAATAACCCAAAAAGATTAGAAAATTTAGGCAAGTACTGCACCTACGACGCTAGCTATATTCTCCATCCAAAGACTGGTGAGATAACTCCAGAGCCTACAAAAGCGCTGCTAACCACTAACTTGTCATTCCGTCTATCAACTGAGTCATGGATGATCCTCAGGAGATCTTTGTAACATCAAAACAAGATCCTTCAATGTGTGTTCGGCAACCTCACAAAACTAGTTTTAGCGGACACAACCTTTGTCGAAAAGCTAATTTTTAGTCTCGCAAAAGTTTGGACCAAAAGCCAAACTAATCTTCTTCGGCTTAAATTTTACCTCGTAAACTAGTTTTCTGTCGGACCAACTCTGACAGCATGCCAAACACACCCTAAGTGCGCTCCGACAGCATGCTTCAGATTAATTTGGAGAGAAAATCTCAGTCAAAAGGAAATAAAGCATGCAATAACACCCACCAGAGCTTCTACCCATTTTTGAGCATCAAGTCCCCCAAAGATGTTGAATCCAATCACTCGAGGGCAAGTACCAACCTGCGCATGAACTGTATTTTCCCTGAGCAAAGGTTACCCTACGCTACAGAGTCTCCATCCGAAGTGATATTGACCCTACGCATGTGTATGTATACACAAAAGAAAGGGGAAGTATCTCGCTCTGACCACATAACTTTATGTTAATGGTCAGATACTCTATCGGTGCAATAGTAGGATGGGGATGCTGAATACACGTAGGATCTGGAACCTAGCAAAATCTTTTACTCCTGGATGGAATCAAAATGATTTGATTGACCACAGATGGGAACATAACCACATGTCCCCCTTTGCGCGGAGTAACATACCCATGGAGAGTCCTCTATAGAATATCGTATGGGGACTAGAATGGAAGGAGAGGGTTTCGCTTGACACATCAGCGCACCAATTGGCTACAGTGAATACAATTACAGGCACTAGCGACACGTGCGTCGAGATTCATGATATGTCAAGTGTTATGGTGTTTCCGATTCGCCCGAGTGCAACTCAGTGGCAAACAACGGACAAGTGTACTTCTGCATGCTATACCCTAATCAACTTGGCGGCTAGAGGCTAGTAGGGGCGACAACCTAGCCGACCTGTCTAGTCGACACCCTCTCATATCGACTCGAAAGGCGGTACTTGTCGCCCCTCTTTTGTCGAAGACGACTCGCCACGAGTCCACTCGACCATTTGCCAGACGCCTCACGAAGCCGACTCGAAAGACATTACTTCTCGGCAAAGCTAAAGGACAACCTCTTCCTCGAGCTTATCTTCGCTGGCAACGTGTCAACATCGCATTTAATGCATGGTATGCGCATCATGCTTCTAGTTCCGATAGTCTTCATGACTCATCGGACCACTTGGGCCACCGCCCTGCCACCACTCAATTCTCGTTTAACGCTAAAGTGATCATTCCTCCACTCGCCAGCCGACACCTATAAAACAAACGCTGACGCAGTTACCACACACACTTTGCCACCGCCTTCCTGCAGTCGGCCGAAGTGACTAATCTACCATTATACCCTACGTATAAATACATGTACTAGTATGTCTTTACGGGGGACCGAAGATCTAATCCCTGATCTTGATTTTCTGGATTTTGATCCAAATTCTCTAAAACTGCAAATCATACTGCAGACACACAAGAACTCTCACAGTTCTTATTTACCCCACTCAAGTTCATCAGATAACTTGATCGTCGGAGGTACAACGGGGGACCGAAGATCTAATCCCTGATCTTGATTTTCTGGATTTTGATCCAAATTCTCTAAAATTGCAAATCATACTGCACACGCACACAAGAACTCTCACAGTTCTTATTTACCCCACTCAAGTTCATCAGATAACTTGATCGTCGGAGGTACAACGGGGGAACCAAGCCCCGTCCTCTCACGAATTTCTACATGTGCAGATTTTTCAGCCACCTAGCTCAAGAACTAGACATAAAGTCGGAGAAGAAAACGGTCCCTCATCAATCCTCAACAAACTTATCCAAACACGAATACATATTTGACAGTCAGGTGTCATGCCCTCCTTCCTAATATAATAGCACTCTATACATGTGCCGTGACACTGTATACAGAGCGCTCTATATATGTGCTGACATCAGAAAAGAATCCAACAAAGCTTCTTAAGGACACAGCAGGTGAACCGCAACAGTGGCCTTCATTCACATAGAATTAGGAAAGAGACTATTACTGCATGGGGATGCTGCCTCTACTGAAATCTAATCCCGAACCCACAAAATTAGGTAGACGCTTTTACTGGTTCTTTTCAGATGTCTTGTTATGAGCTTCACAATCTACCTGATTATAAAAAAAGGCTCTGCATTCTTTTGAACCCTCACTGCCACCGGAGAGTTTTTATAGAGGAGGAGAACAAGATGATCATGGTTCAGTTCTCAGCTCACAATCTCCTCACGCATTCAAACTCTCAGGTGACGTTCGTGTCGTTCCTCCTCTCTTATTTCTACCATATCTGAACCATCGAACTCCTTCGAGCTCTTGAAACAAAAAGAGAATTCGTTCTCCCCTAACAACCGGCATTTTAATTTGTCCAGACATCCTAAAGCATAGCACCTAAACTTTCTCTTTAGGTGATAACTGTATAGTTGTACGGATATCGAAAAGCCCAAATGAGGTGGATAGGAAGGATAGCGTACGTCAATAGCAAGGGTAAGAAACACTGCAGACGTATTTTCTGGAGGGTGAGAGCAGCAATCAAGAGAACCGTGAAGGGGCGAAGAAAACAGAGAATCAGCTTCCAGTATGACCCGTGGAGTTACGCCCTAAACTTCGATGATGGCCTTCATCGAAGCGAAACTGACGCCATTGCCGTTTTCAAACTCAGGGACCGCGCTCACGTGAAGAATTCAAACAGGGCTGTATTCTAAAATATAGACGTTGTCTAGATTATAATCACATCTCTCTTATACCGTGTGTGCTGTATGTGTCTTTCAGTTTGTAGGAGCAACATTGTCATGTGTCGCATGGGTGATCTCCTTCAGCGCAGCCCGTAAACGTGCTTTTAAGGTTTGCATCATGTCACGAACTAAGGCATAATCGAATAATTATGAGTTATGAAACTTATGTGCTCTGGCTGTCTCTACTACTTCTTCAAAAGTGCTATATTCAATTGATCACTACTCTGCCGTGGGCTTCACTTCCTTTGTTCCGCAAGGCTGAGCTAACAAATCCCCTCTCCACAGTTTGCGCGATAGCAGTAACATTGTCTTTATGCACACATCTTAATTTGTCAGGCGAGTTCGTTATGCGATACAGAATCTTCGCATATACATTCACATGTTCTGGGTATGTTACATGTTCTCCCTAAATCCTACTGGCGGATATATACTTCTGTTACTTGTATCCATTTAAGAGAAGCCAACTTTTAAGGAAATGGGTGAAATGGTGTAATCAAATTGACTTCATGGACAAAATCGCACCAAAGTAATCCCTCCCTCCCTGTTCCTGCTTCTTCCTCACCCGTCTCCCAGTTCATTTCCCACCAATAAAAACCTAAAATCCTATCTCGTGCTTAATACTTTTGTCACAGCAGCTACACTGCCTTTTCTCCCCATCTATTATCGCTCTCTAAAATACAAAGAAGATCAAAGAAATCACAGCAATATACAATCTTTTTTCCAACACAAATAATGAAAAGTAACAGAAATAGAAATCTTTTGCAGGGTGCCTAAGAAAGGATAGTAACTAGAAAGTGTTTCAGAAGACGGAATAATCTAGAGCGTCTTCCATAAGAAACTCAGTTGCACAGGAACTTCAGATCGTTGAACTTACTATGTGAACCGATCTTAATCATAAGCCTGAAAGCCTGAAGAAGATTACTCGATCCCGATTTTCTAGACCTCTAGTTTTACTTCGTCATTGTCCTCTTGACCAGCAAAGCATTGGCATTAATATGTTATACAATGTCTATACATGCTAAGGTTTAGCTTGTTATGTGAACCCATGTAAAAAAAGTTCTGTGCTTTACCATTGCAGAGGTCATATCATTACAAATTAGCATAAAAGTGTAAACCACAATAATCATTCTTCTCTCAAGCAAAAATAAAAGCCTCATCTCAAATTATGAGAACGGGTTTGCACTCAAGCGAAATAAAGTCCAGATAGATGCTAACTTGTAACTACCATGAAAATTACTCCAATCAGATGGTCAGAAACTCAAACTCATTTAGGTGCCAACTTAGGGTAAGATATAGTTAAAAGAAAGAAGATGCCAAGCTACTTACATAGCAAGAGATAAAAGTTAAACCCCCTAACATAAAGAACACACATAATAATCAAAGCCAACAAGTTCTGTGCAATCATGAATCATCACATTAAAAGCTAAATTTCACAAAGCAATCAACGAGAGTTTATATGAAGCTATTCACATATGCCTTGATCTGTTCTCTGCACACAGAGAACCGCAGAAACTGACCTGATTCTAAAAATAAAAAACATACATTTTCAGACAGCAGGGTCTTCCAGTCTAGCTGTAGATAAATCATTAATACGCGGATAAGCAGCCTTCTCATCAAGCTGGTTCTGAGCCCAGACCAGCATCTTCAGTAAGCTAGGAAGCTTTGGGTCTGCATAATAACACAAATTGTCAATGCTCAACATTCTAGTACACTAGAAAGGACAAGTAGAAACGAGGATAGGTTGAACAAGCAATAAGCATAGGCTTCTAAAGAAGCAAGTTTCAGTTGCAAATAGAGAAAGTATGCATGCGTGTATCCATATCCAGATGCACATGTTTGTACATACATGTGAGTACATAAACATATGTGCTTGGGTACACACATGGGCAATGAAGACTCTGTCTTCCATAGATCAAATTTGCTAAATAGTCTAATGAGATAACAATAGATGGTTCTTTCCTAATTGGCTTCTTCGAACGAATATAATATTATAAAAGATGTAAAACTGAACAACTACATGACATGATTCCTTGAGGCATTATTTATAAACATGGAGCCTCTCTTAAAGCTCTGCCAGCAACTCCCCTTGATATACAACTTCCTTCGCACTACCCCAAGAAGAGTGTTCACTTTAACAAATTTTAAATTTGTTTGCAGAAATTTATGCGTGTGGGGCTATTGTTGTCCCTATAAGGACTGAACCATTTATTCATTCTATATACTGATCACAAAGTTAGTAACAATTGAGATGATCAAAACCATCACTGACCTTTTTCATGACTTTGGCTTGTTAATATTGCTGCATTCACCTCACTTGCAGTTTTCAAGCGCTGAGATACATCCAGCAGTTCTCTATATGGGCAGTCTTTTAAATTTTCAAACGCCAGAAGAGCAACTGTCCTTTCTAACTCCTCGAGGAAACATTGCTGCAAAGCCAATTTGGTGTCAGGTACAAATATATGACCGTCATGCACAGGATAATTCTTACAGCTAACATTATAAGACAAACACCAATTATCAACATACTAAGAAGTATGAACAGTTTAGGGAGAAAAGAGGATAATCAAATAGGCTTTAAAAAGAAAAATATACGCCAAGATAAGAACTAATATGGCATGGCCACATATTACATTTTCCTCGCCCCTTGGTGCAAGCTCCTCCTGTGCAAACTCAAGAGCTTCCTCAACTTTTCCCTGGCGAATCAATTCTATTAATCTCTGCTGTTGCAGGTGGAAACATAGCTGTGGATTGGTATCTAATATCTGCAAATCAAAACAAATCAGGATTCAATTGAAATTTAAGGAATGCATAGTATTTTCTTTCATATCAACAATATCAATCATAACATTTAACCATAATGACGAGAAAATTTTCTCCAAGGAAAACCCCTATATGATAAGATCATTATGATTTTATATGTAATGAAGGATAAAGTCAGATGTGTCCACAAAAATAACAGGGATCTGCAAATTGTACTGTAAATACTACGTAGGGAACTAATAGAAATAAGCCTCTTAGTGAACAATAAGGCCTGATTTGGAAGATATTAAAATTCTTTTGCGAAACTGATATTACGTACACTATGTCCTCATTCAACTATTTCACATATGTTTGTACATCTCTTAGTCAATAATATATGTTCAGCTTGAGCAAAAGGAAGCCAGAAATAGGAAGAGTTTATCCGAAAAAAGAGCTTGCTTTGGAACAAACAAATCAATTGTCAAAATCCATTTTGAACTAATAAATACTCATAATGAACAAATCAACCTAAGAAAACCAGTTGACCATTACTTTGTATCGAAATTAACAGTATCTGGATTTGTTGTCTCCCCATAAATAACGAGGCAGATGTAATATTATATGCTGATATATTCATTACAAAATTAATGATGTAGGTAACTTACTTTTGTAGTTAGATAATGTCTCCTATGTTTTAAATTCTAACACTAAACTAATGCTACTTTTTCTATCTGTAAGAGGTTTTCACTACATAAACTTAAGGAATATTGCAAATAAGATTCGTAAATTCAGTACACGAGGAATCAGATATCACTCCCAAGGAAAGGTGATTGATCCTTATCATATGCAGCTTAAACAATGTCACTAAACAAAGGGATACGATCACAGAGATGGTTTATCCTGTGTAATATAAGTGCAAAAGGACTCAAGAGTAACAACAATGTTCTTTGCTAGATTTTATTAAGCACAGAAGGCAATCATAGAAGACCAAATTAATTTAAAAGAAATTTTTGACCCCAGTGCAGAGACACTGCAGCCCCCACAGCCCTGCCACAACCCAACCCAACCACCAACACCACATACGGAAAACTTTATACAAGCTTTTAACATGGAAACACATATGGCTGCGCCCATGGGCAAGTACTGAACAGCTCCATTCCTATTACCATAGCAGATACTCACATTAGATGTTTCATGAGCTAGTCCAACTATCCAAGTAATATCGAAGCGGTTTTCAACCTACGGTCAAATATCAAGAAATCCAGCAATGTACATGCCTATATGGATTAGAAAGTTGTTCATCTTCCTTCATCGACTGAAAACCAAAAAAAAATGTATAGAAAACTTTGATAGTGCAATTAAGGTTTTAAGCCATCCATTGAGTCAGAATAATGAGTCTGCTTTTAACAGATATCCACCGACCTAAATATATTTCTCTTGAATTCATCCCACAATCTTTAACAGGTTTCACATTAAATAACTAAATAAGCCACCCCGAATGATGTCAATGGCCATAAATCAATTTAATTCGATTAAATCAGAAAACACAGCAAGTCGAACAGCCAACAAGAACATGGTGCAAACAAGAAAGAACAGCGAAATGGATTACAATTTATACGAACTCATCGTAACTAACAAGGGGGAAAAACACACCTCAGGATTCAAGTCGTTAACTTTCTCGATCGCATCCTCAACGTTACCAGACTGGACCGCCTTCTTCACCGCCATTCGATCCGTTATCGTCGCCAGATCAATATCTGCTATGATGTCATAAGGAAACCGATCACAAGTCCCAACCCCCCACCCCAAAGTTCTCAAAAAAGAACGAAATCAAGAAAACTATCTAAAGGATACGCTCAGTTCCCGATTCGACCCGAAACTTCTCGGCGGCGTCAACGTATCCTTCGGTGACAAGAAAGTTCATCACGAGCTTGTTCATGTCATCCTTTCGAATCTTGACCTCCTTCAGCTTTCTCTCCCACTCCTCTCTCGTGATTACCTTCTTCGATGTCATCTGAAGAGTGAAAGAACCAGTTAGCACGCAAAAAAACATCGATTTTTTTTTCCAAAGATTTCTGAAGGAGAACCTAGATTACCATGGATTGGGATTGGACGGGGTCGAACTGGCCAAGAACTATCCAGAAATTGGACATCACCTCGGATCGCCCGAGAGCATTGTATTTAAAAAAAAAAACAGCCCAGATTAATGGAAATCGGGGATTTTGGAGGGGAAAACCCTAGATATCGGAGAAGAAAATATAGGCAGATGTAAATAGCACGAAGCACAGGGGTAATATTGGAAGTGGGTGATTATGTTTTTTGGGCTGCGGGCCTGCGGTCCATTGATGGGCCCAGCTGAGACGAGTCAAAGCAATTGAGGGGCTGTTTGTTTGCCAAAAAAAAAAGAAGAAAATTAACGAATAGGAAACCTATTTCCTTAAATAATTGTTTTATGATTGTTTGGTTGGCTTAAAAAAGAAGGAAATCAAATAATAGGAGATGATATGAGATGAGTTGTCACAATATTATTGGATGATGTGAGTGATTTTTTAAGAAAAGTTGTTGGATGGTTGTTTGATTGGCTAAAAAAAGAAGGAAATCAAAGAATAAGAAACCTATTTCTTATAATAGGTCATATTCTTGTGTTTGGTTCAATCTTAAAAATAGGAGATGAGATGAGATGAGATGAGTTGTCATTATATAATTGGATGATGTGACACACACTTAAGGAAATCAATTTCCTTGTTTTTTTGGAGGAAATGAGTGAAGATGAAATGAAGATGATATGAAATGAGTTGTCACAATATTATTGGATGATGTGAGTTGTTTTTAAAGATGAGATGATATGGAGATGAGATGAGTTGGATGATGTGACCCATAAAAGTTGTTTGGTTTATTTTATTGGATGATATGAGATGAGTTGTTGGATGGAAATAATATTTTATTGGATGATGTGGATGAGTTGTATGATGAAAATAATATTTTATTGGATGTTGTGTGTTAGTTTTAGGGATGGAAATGGTGGAAATTGCACTTTTTTATTTCCATGACTCAATTTCCTTTTTTTTGGTTTTTAGGAAACCAACCAAACAGCGCCTGAAGAAATTTTTAAAATGGTCTTAAACCAATGTTTTTTTTGAAAATATACTCTTTTTTGTTTTATTACAAAAATAGACTTATTTTCTGATCACGTCAACACTGTGGTGAGAAAACAAGTCTATTTTTTTTAAACGTCTTCCTATTTAGTCGGAGTTGTCAACCCCGACTAATTTAAATTTGTAATTTTTTAGCTAGATTAGTCAGGATTGACAACCCCGACTAATTAGAAAGTTATTTAAAAAAATAAACCCACTTTCTGACTATGGTGCTGATGTAGCCAGAAAGTGAGCTTATTTCTGCAATAAAAACGTAAGAAGTTCAATTTTAAAAAAAAAATGGTTTGGGCTATTTTGAAAATTTCTTGCTAAGCAATTCCCTTTGAAAAGAAAATGGAAAAAGTACAACATAACCCACGTCAATTCCCCTGTTTTCCATGAGACCCCGTAATCTACGATCGACATTGAATGAGGATGAGAGGTTTCTTGAAAACGATAGAATGAGTACCGATCGAGGAGGAACTTACAGAAGCCCGTCACCGGTGCCTCGGCGCCGTCGAACGATGCCAATCGATCCCAGGAGCAGAAGTACAAGTTACAAGAAAATTACCGAAATCCCCCGAAAAAGAAAATGAAAATTAAAGAAGAAGGTAGTGGTTAACTAACGCTTGATCAACTTTGCCGTGGAATTCCTTCAAATTTTGGAAAATATCATCGATTATTGAGCAGTTAGAAAATCAAAATGTCTGTTGAAATCAAGCTCCGATAACTCTCAAGAAGCCAAGAGTGCTAATGTTCTGGAGAGAGAGAGAGAGATTGGAATCAAGATAACTTGGATTCTGATGCGGTTTATATAAAATCTGCTTCCCGCGCAGTAATAATCTGATTTTTATCGGCCGAAGTCTTTCTTACACGTCAATCCCTTATCTTTTGCATTTACAATTTGTCCCTCAAATCAGTTAAATTACCATTGCGCCCCTCAGTTGTTAAACTATCCTGAAATTGATCCATCCAATAAAGAGTAAAATAGCAATTAGATATATTAATCTGAAGTAACTTCTGAGAATTGGGGATTAATTACAAAATAATCCAAGAAATGGGGGTGCCAAATAGCAATTTTAATGATTTGATGGACTAATTCACAATATGGAAGTTTTTTTTGGTTGAACTAGTAGAAGTAAATTTTATAACGGATATTGACATGATAAAAAAATTTAGGGAATGTTAGCGGGAAAACAACGTTTGGGAGTTTACGTCAAAAAGTTGGTGGGTTTATTGTAAAAATTTAGCCACTTCTTGACTTGTGTATGTGCGTTTTTTTTTCTCTTTTTTTTTGGGGGACTATGAAGAGAGACAAACGAAAAGAGCTTAATTAATTAAGAATTAGTACTTAATACACGCCGACGCATACATGACATAGAATCAGACAAATTTTTAGTTATTTTTATCTTCAAAGTATGAGGACATTTCAGTTGAATATTTTTTCCCAATTTGAGAATATTTCAGTTACTCTTTCCAGGTGTGAGGATATTTATATAAAATTTCCAAGTCGCAAATCCGATATTCTGAGAATGTTAGCCACGAACTGTGAAAACGGCGAAGGAATTGTGAAAAACGTGAAGAATAACCCAAAACAGACTCCACCACACCCTGGTGTGGTGTCTGCCATGGGTGTGGTAGAATATGTCCTGCATCACACCCTCTGCCACACCCACGGTGCAGGGTGTGGCAGAATTTGTCCTGTACCACACCCTCTGCCACACCCATGGTGCATGGTGTGGCAGACTCGTTTTTAGAATCCTCCTTTGTATTGGAATCCTCCTTTGTTTGAGATTGTATTTTATTATAAATAGGACCACGTTTTTTAGGGTTTCTTAAGGAGAGAAAAGGAGAGAATTAGCATTGTTTTGAGCACTTTGAGAGGGAGATATTGTGAGGGAGTTGAGAGCTTTGGTTAGGGTTATATTTGAGTGATTTTGTGAGTTGTAACCCGTTGTATTTCTCCTCCATATAATAAAATCTCCCCATCCTCTCCCCGTGGACGTAGGCAATTTGCCGAACCACGTATATCTCTGTGTTTGGTTTGATTTGTCGTAATTGGCTTGGTTTGTGCAAGTGTGTGGCTTTCTTCTTCCGTGATCTCAAGTTCGTTGTGTGTGCGTGCAACGCTTCCGCATAGGCGCGCGACAAGTGGTATCAGAGCTCAGATTTCAGATCTAGGGTTTTGGATTAGGTGGAGGAAGATTCAGTTGGAAGCTTGGTTCTTGGAGTTCTAGGCTTTGGTGGAGTTAGGGTTTGAAGTTGCCGTTGAAGATCTCGCTTTCCTCGTGTGGTTAGGAGTTCTATTTGGAATCCAATCTAGGGTTCAGTTGGGTGATTTCTTATTCTTTTCAAAGTTTGGATCTTTCTCTATAATTTGGAATTTGTGATTATGGGTGAAGAAGTTAGTGAAAGCAACAAGATGATAGGCACAGTTCAAGTGGGTTTTCAGAACACTAAGATTAGTGTAGTGAAATATGACGGCAAGATCAATTTTGGTTTATGGATGAGCGACGTACAGGATGCGCTCAATGCTCAAAATCTAGAGGAGACCATCATGGTCGATGTGAGGCCACCTAAATATGAAGAGGCGATATGGGAAAAGATGAATCAAAATGCTTGCGGGGTGATCAGGTCCTGTTTGGAACAGGAGCTGAAATACGATGTGATTGGGGTGACGTCTGCAATGAAGGTGTGTGAGATTCTCAACAACAAGTATCTCACGAAGAGTGTTGAGAACAGGTTGCACTTGCTGCGAAGATTATTCAGATTTCAGATGTCCAGAGGTACCTCGCTTGCGGCTCATGTGAACAACTACACTAAGTTATTGTCGGACTTGGCGAACGCGGATGAGAAGATCACAGATGAGTACAAGGCTATTATTCTTTTGGGCTCCTTACCGGATGAGGAGTATGATACCTTCGTGCTTACGTTGCTGAACGGGAGATCTTCTATCACTTATAGTGAAGTGACTAACGCATTGACGAACTATGATTTGAGGAGGAAGGATAAGGAGACTTCCCGCGCTAGTACTTCAGGAGAGGCCTTGTCGGCGAGAGGTAGAAGCTCATATCAGAAAGGTGGAAACAGAGGGAGGTCAAAGTCAAGAGGTCGTCACCAGCTTGGAAAGAATCAATGTGCATTCTGCAAGGAGCAGGGACATTGGAAAAGAGATTGCCCGAAAGTCAAAGAAAAGGAGAATAGCAAGAATAAGGGCCCGAAGGCCAATGAGGTGAATGTTGCGAAAGGCGATGATTCCGATGATTCGAGCTTTTCTCTTTTGATTACTCCGGAGGTGAACCATTTGGATGCATCAGAGTGGATGCTTGATTCTGGCGCTACTTATCATGTGACTCCTAGGTGAGATTGATTTTCATCATTTGAGAGACTCGATGGGGGTGTTGTTGTCATGGGAAATGATCAATCCTGTGGCGTTTGTGGGATAGGTACTGTGAGGATTCGGATGCACGATGGAGTAGTCTGTGAGTTGAAGGAGGTGAGATTCGTTCCTCAACTTAAGAAGAATCTTATCTCAGTTGGGGCTTTGGAGGCGAAGGGATTCAGGGTGACCTTTGATGATGCTGTAGCGAAGGTTACTAAGGGATATTTTGTGGTGATGAAGGGAGTCCGCAGTCATAATTTATACTATCTGAAAGGGAGCACCGAGATTGGCCAGGTTGCTTCGGCTATTTCAGAGGCGGACATGAGCAGACTTTGGCATTACAGGTTAGGGCACACAGGAGAGAAGTCACTGCAGGCTTTGTGCAAGCAGGGGCTATTGAAGGGAGCCAAGAGTGGAAAGATTGAGTTATGTGAGCACTGTGTTCTTGGCAAGAAGACAAAGGTGAAGTTCGGGATGGCCATTCATATGACGAGGGGCATCTTGGACTACGTGCATACAGATGTTTGGGGTCCCACCAAGACGGCATCACTTGGTGGTCGACATTGGTTCGTCACATTTATTGATGACTATTCTAGGCGTTGTTGGGTGTACACCATGAAACATAAGAGTGAAGTCCTAGATTTGTTTGTAGAGTGGAAGAAGAGATGGGAACTGCAGACTGGGAGAAAGATCAAGACGTTGCGATCCGACAATGGCGGCGAGTATACTTCAGACCCCT